TAAGAACCTGTGCTTAGCTATAATATCTAACACAACTGTTCACAGAAAGGAATTAATAAATGTATCCTAAAATCCCTATACAGGCTTAGTGACAGTAAACAAAATAATTGTGTTTTAGTAGTTACCAAACTATTAACAATTAATGTTGTAAATCTGACAGTTAGACGGGTTTGGAAGAAACATTGCTTGTAAAACTCGATCTCCAGCTTGCTTTGAACTCAATTTGATTAATGTAACTATTACATCATGGAAAGAAGCGTGTTTTACCCACAGTGCCATGCACAGGTCATGCATCCTGTTTTTCTGAATGTGGAGAATATGGCTTTTCAGAATATATAACGTGCATGGATGGCATGAGGATATACTTTCACATAACTGGGTTTAATTATGAGCTGTTACATTTTTGGACAAAAATAGCATTGCAACTTACACATTTAGGCCATAATAAAAGCATTTAAATGCATTGAAAATCAGAGGGCACACAGACTATGTTAGAAAGTTTATGTGAATATGAGTAGCTCACAGAGCTTGAGCTTTGAGGCTTGGACGGCTCTCCTCACTGTCCACAACAGCCTTCTGTGGTGTTAAAGAATAAAAATACCACTGAACTCAAATCCCTTTCAGAATTCTTGTATCCGGCATGTGTTTGATTTAACCACAGTGGAAGGATATTCACTATAATATTCACATGTTTTTGGTTACTTTCTATGTCTCTTTCTTTGCCTTTCTTAGAAACGCTTGGAAGTTTTTGACCACAGGCTGCATTGCACAGCATTCCCAACTCTTAGATCCTAGATTAAATCCCTGGCAGGGGTATTGAAATCACTTCATAAAAATCATGTTATGAGAATGTTTTCTGAAGTTCTGAATGAATAAAAATACATTATGTGAGACCCACACAATGATCTGTGCAGTATAATCAATGTAATTGACATTGTTTTGGTCGAAATGGCTTGTTGCCTGGAGATGTTGTCATTATGAATGATCAGATGTGATAAAGAGAGAGAAAGACTTTGCTCAGGGTCACACTCTGCTAATAAACACTAAAAACTGACAAATAGTCTCTCAACTCTGGAGAAACCAGTCTTAATAAGCAAACACATTAAAAGCCATGCTAAGTAAAAAAAAAAAAAAAAGGTGAGATTGATAAGAATAAGGACATGTAAATGGGCCATGTTTATGGGTAGAAAGCACAGTGACGAAAGAATGTAAATATATTGCACTAGCATATAGATACATTCAAAACTTACAGCATGGACTAAATGCCACAAAATTGTAATTGTATTTTAATCAGGTGTTTAATTTAAAAAGCCCTCCCAACACATTATTTAATTTTGTTTTATTTCATTTTATAACACAACCTCATAAAGGGACAGAACAGTGGCTAGATTGAGATCCAATGGATATAAATAACAAGAGCATGAGCACAATACACACTCACATAAACACTGGTGTTGCTTAAAGAGAAACAATAGATGCTTTTATTTGCATGGCCTAATGTCACCTCTACATTTAAGCACCACAGGGTCTTATACCACTATATACACAGAGATAAAGTATCTGTTTCAAAACAATAGTTACAAGGTTCTATTAACAAGTCAAGTAAATAAATCCATCTTCTTGTTTATTAATGAACCCAGCCTGTGGGGATATTTCTTCAAAATGGTCACATTGCTCTACCATGTTTGAAAATAAAGTACCACCATCACTAATCCTTACCCTATACCTAACTAATAGTGCTAACAAAAGCTCTTTGAGCTCTTTGATCAAGTGTTGTGATTGTGTTTCACTGGACTCATATGTACAGTACTCTATATTGCAAGTTCAGTGCTGTACCAGGTGGGCTTCCAAGCAAGTTTACTACATCAGAAAGGCCATATATGTGGAGCTAGTTATGTGATGCAAACGTCAAAATATGTTAGTTTACAAATCATGCGTTTTGGTAAAAGTGTTTTGAGGTTCTAACATAGTATTGTGCAAGGAACCATTTGAAAATAAAGCTTTATTAATAATCTAATTAATAATGCATTTAAGATTTGTGTGAAAAAGAACAAAATTTGTTGGTGTTTTACTGCCACTAGAGTTCATTTCAGCTGGAAACTACAGTGAAATGTATAGATAGTAGAGGTCTGCACGTGCTTTAAACTGAGAGAGAGAGAGAGAGAGAGGGCTGAAAGTTGCGTGTGCGTGAACCTGCGTCTGCGCGTCTCTCTCTACAAGCAATGAGGCTTAGTTACTTCAAAAACAGCGATTTTACCACCTCATTGCAGAGAAATATAACGTTGCGAGTCAGTAGCCTGTCAAAGCTATTTTACTAATAAAAGTTTTTGTGCTGTGTTGTCGTGTGCAATAATGTGTGTGCGTGCGTCTATGAAAGCAGCGTAGGCTACTGCATATACACTCTAAAAAATGCTGGGTTAAATATAACCCAGCATTTTTTAGAGTGTAGTTTTAGTTTAGCTATAAACCAGAGCCCGACCCGAACCTGAAGCTATTCATTAAACATTAACCCGAACCCGACCCAAACCCCGAAAGTATTTTGGGACCCATCTGGGCTCGGGTCGGGTAGCAGACCTCTTAATATTTCCACACATGCTAGCATAACAAAATTGATGGTATTTACTAGTTGCCATATAAAAACTATATACAGATAACATTTTAAACTGTCATATGGTCGTGTTACAACGTGCCCCTCAGATGTTACAATGTACCCCACCTACGGGGCATGTTGTCACATTTCACTTCCATTTTTTGAGGGTAAATAAAGAAAAACATATACATTGTAATTATGAAACAAAGCGTCATATTTTTTCTAGACAAGTGTGAAATTGCTGTGGATAAAATATTATACTCTGAACCCCATGTGGATTAACAAACTGAGAAAGTCAAGTGTTAGGTTGTGCCTTGCTCTCCTCTACTAAAAAAGGCCCTTAGAAGCTTACAACTTTTAAAACGTCAGGAACACCATAACAGAAAAGCTGCTGTTTTTCCTATATTAGTGGCATGCAGCTGCTTGTTAGCACCAAGCGACCTTGTATGACCTCTGTTATGATGATAGTAGAATACAAAGCAGATGGAATGCAACATACGAATCACTATATATTTCACTGTAACACTTTTATTGGTAATAACATTCAACATACAGTATGACCTTTGTCTGGAGGAGGGGCTCCATTTTCTTTTGTAGACATTTGCATCATGAAAATTAGACTGATGTTGTTTTGGATGAGAGCAATATACACTAAATAGATTTCCTGAAATCAAATATTCAATATCTTATTAGGAATATATAAACATATTAATTTGCCACTACACTACACACTCAAATAACCCATGCATCAGTGTGTATATTAGAGTCTTGGGTGGCCTTTTTTTTTTTTTTTTTAAATCATGGCATCCCAATCTTTTTATTAAATACTTGCTTGAAAGGAGTTCTTGTGCTGCATTTCTTTAAAACAAAAGCCACTTGATTTGCTATTTTGCTATCTATTGCAGTGACATATTCATACGTTTTAAGCACGCTTTAATTGTCTACTAACTTCTGTGGCTATTGTAAATTTAGTATGGAAGACTGATAGAATGAGAGACATCCTAAAACATTGTTATAACGCCTGCAGAATAAACCCTGCATGCTTCTCAACCCCTCATGCTATTATTAGTAAGTATTGATGAAGCTTTCAGGCAGGGGGAAAGGATTACTTCACACAGTGTTTTTTTTTGTACATAAGATTTATAGATGCTTCAAGGGACTTGTAAACACTGATAGATGCAAACTCCATCACAGCCAAGAAAATAAACTTGTCTTTGGCTTCCTGGCACTAATGACTTGAGGTGGTGCACAGCAGGGCGCTCTAAAATTAACCAGATGATCAGGAGGGGAGGGGAGCAGAGCTGAGGAAAAACGCCTCATCATCTCCGGAGACATTGAGAAGACGCCCTAGCACATCAGTATCATCTCCTCCAGTCGTTTAGTCAGATTCCTTGAAAACAACACAGAGGCAGTTTTATGAAAGCAACCCATTGTCAGAATGGGAGATTTGGGTCTGATATCTGGGGCAGGACTCTGTTAGTCACGCTTAACCAACTATAGCATATAATTAAATAAATATAAGTCAGCAATTGACGCACTTGTTGGCAAAAGTCAAACTGTTATTCTGTGGGTGTATAAAAGTAACAAAGAATGCTAATTTCTAGACATGTATACAACTTTCATGGAAGATTTCACATGGCTAACGTGCATTGTTTGGTTGAAGATTACCTGTGATCAAACACAAAAGCAGTCATGGAAAAATGTGGAAAATAAAAGCTAAAACAGCTGCAAGGTACATTAACCTTCTATTGGTGTTTATCCCAGATTAAGTCAGATGTTAAAGAGTACGCCCTCCTTTGAAAGCCCCAGGACAAAATGATCCCACGTTTATAAGTAACTACTGTATAAGCACATAGTCTCAGTGGGTGGTGGATAGAAATATTTCAAGTATATTGTAGTTTCAAATTGTCATTATTCTCAGATCTACAGGCTATAGTACAATATGCATGTGCACCTATATATAAACACAAACTCGCATACAGAGACAAAAACTTTCAGTTTATATGAGAACAGCCATCTGATTGTGTGACTGTATATATATATATATATATATATATATATTTAGGAATATTTCAGCTCTCCAGTTTCAACTCTCGTCTCTGTCAGTTCTACTATTCTGCACGAAATGGATCTGGGCATGTTTTGTAAACTTTAGGAGAGATGTTTATTAGTGAATCAGATCTATCAGACATTGCAACAGACGACAGAGACATCCTGTACCACCACCTGGTGGACTTTATGGAACATTATTTTTATTTTATAAAAAAAAAACTAAATATCAATAAAAATATAATATAAATATTAAATCAAATTAAATATAAATTTTGTAAAATAAATATTAGATAAAAACTTAAACTTAAAAAAATTATTTGCTTTAGCAACTAAAACTAAAAAATTTATTTTGCTTATGTAAACCTAGTAGCTAATAGCCAAGTCAACTGATTGTTTAGGTTATGCTTCAGTAATTAACCATTAAATGGCCTATGTATCATTTGTTTCCTGTGCATCTAGGAATACAAAAGCTTCAGTGTAAAGAATCTCAAGGGTCTGGTGGTGGTTTAAAGGCATGCATCAACCCTCATCTCACACCATGTGGCAGATGGTGTCTTTTGGCTCTCCTGATAAATATTAATGGGATTTCTGGAATTAAACAACAGGCAGTTGGTAGACTGAGTGCAATCTGAATGACAGACTGAAAAAAGAAAAAAGATGAAAAAAATAATCAATTGCTTAGGAACATAATAGCTCACCTCTCAAACATCTCAAAGAGTTGAGATATGATTCATACATGCAGATGTGGTGAATCTCTGTTCAAAGGTAAGAATGGGAAGTTTGCCAGCCGAAATAGTGACCTTTCTATCTCGGTTTGAAGTAACGCCCATAATTCTAAGCCAACACCACTTGAGTCTCTATTCAGTGCCAAAACCAGTGACTGTGAAGCGAGTGCAGACATGGGACGTCTGATAAATGGTTTAATGATAAAGCACTGCTGCAACCCCTGCAGAGGTATACGAAACATACCAAGTAGTAGCTATGTTACCCTAAACCTGAAATAATCAATTAAAATGGTTTCTGACATCTGCTGTTCTTGCTTGTCTCTTCTCTGATACTTAAAGCTGTAATGAAACCTCTCTTTGCATTGTGTTTTTAAGAAACTAATAAATAATTTCCAAGATATGTAGTTAGAACACCATGATAAATAAACTCTGTTCATAAGACAAATATACAAACAATCTGAGAAGTTATTTTCCATAAAATGGAAGCGTACAAGTTTCAAATATCAGAATGCTATCACATGGCTTCAAAAGTCTTGCAAAATAGTGCATGAGTCATGGACTTTTATGATATTTTTATGTTTTTCACCATCTTTTTGGAGCTTTACTATACTTTCATTGTATGGAGAAAAGCAGCATGAACTTTTTTCAGAACATCTCCTTTAGTGCTTTACAGGTTAGAACAGTTTGAGTAACTGAATTTTGAAAATGAGCAGCAGAAATGTCAGTTTTGGGTAAACAAAGTGCAAATAATGATCATCATACCTGCTAAAACACAAGGCCTTTGCAATTTGAATCACAGGGATCATCAGCTTTGCTCATTAGTTCATGTAACACACCAATACTAGTCAACATATATCAAACAATACTAGTCAATATATATCAAGAAGTCTATTCCTTTTACTATTTATGATGTTTACTATGGGTCAAATCATGGAGCAGATGCTTTAATCTGAGTGTGGCATGTTTCCAATCAGATTTTAAGGGTGGCAGATTAGCCAGGCTCCCTTGTCAAGGCGAATCCCAAATTCAGTCCACAATGGAGGAAACCAGCCAACACTTTGGGGGACACCACTCAGTAAGATGCTGACAAAAGCCGGGGCAAGGGGGGTGGGGAGATGAAGAGGGGTGGGAAAGATCAGGGCAGCTGGAGGATTGGTGGCACACAGTAGATCTCATTGTGTCCGACCTGATTATCCTTCACGGGAGACAGCTAGTTGACATCAGTTAGTCTGCAGCCGAAGAAGTGGAGAGTTAGTCATGATGCTGCTTGGTGAAAGAGTTACTCTCTTATCATTCAAATAAAAGACACTTTCAAACTACAATGCTCTCTGCCTGGACTGTTATCTCACGATAGACATGGTGGTCTTCATTAGTAAAAACGTTCTTTCTCTGTTGTCAATCTTCAAGAAGAAGGGTGAGTAGATTCATGAATTTATAGGTGATTATTCACCTTCAAACATAAATATTTCTGCTGGTTCTTAAGAATTGTCAAGTTTTTATATATTTTCTCTCCATTGTGAGTCTTGATTATTCTAGTTAATTTTTCTAGACTGGAGTACTGGTGTTAACAAATGTTGTAAAGGTATTGGCTACTCTCAGTTGTGTTTATTAAAAGTTCTCTGTGTACCTGTATATTTAACTGGTGGCTTCTCTTTGCACATCTAGTACTCTTAAAATTAACCAAAGTAACGGAATGTTTCAGGTTAAATACAAGATAAGCTTCATAAAAACTTCTCAATTTTAAAATCAAACCCATAAAATGTGTTGACTGAAATCTACTTAAAAATGGAAGTCTGTTGTTGAATTGGTGAATATTCAACCCGATCTCACAACAAATATTTGACAAGGTGGCTAATTTTTACGAATTTGTGAAAAATTGTATGTATTTTACGTGGTGGCAAATTTGTAGGAATTCGTACGAAGGACCACACCCAACCCCGCCCCTAAACTTAACCATTACAGAAAATTGTATGAGTGAGGTCTTACGAATTCGTACGAATTAGCCACCTTGGAAAATATGTACGAATTGGCAGTGAGATAGCGTTGGAATATTTGCTGTATATTGGAGTATAAAGTACACTGTTAATGGTTTTACGAACCGAGTTGTATTTAACATGGAACATTCCTTTAACTTGAATAATTTGCAAAAGGGACTCATACAGTGCACTTGCCTACAGTGTGTGTTTTGACTTTCTGTTGTACCACAATTCCTGTAGTCAGTGCCAGGACACCTGACACCCCCTATGGGGTGTACTATACAAGAAGTTTAAAAGTTGATACTGAGTGAAGAGTTAGAAATCTGCATAAATGGCTAAGAGACGATCTCGGTTAAGGGAAAGTCCCTGTCATAAAACACTCATCAACTCCATTTTGCAATGCCTTTCAGAAGCATCAAAACTGTTGTTATCTCATGGCCAGTAGTTTAAGGCACTCAGGAGGTACGTAAGGAAGATGATAGGGGTACGAGTATGAGGCTTCTCACTGTTCCTTTGAGAGTGCCCCAGTCTAACGATAGGCCACCCTCAAGTGTCCCGTTTCTCCCTATTGTAAAGTTAACAGTGAGTCTCAGTGCAAGTCAGACACGAAGGCCACTAAGGTAATTCATAGTGCTTTGATGTTTGCAATGCTTGCATGTTTTACGATTAATTTTGCCTATAATAGATATTTGAAAATGAAATCCAGTTTATCAGATTTTCTAGAAAATCTGCTAACAGGAACAAGTGCTGTATCATGACTACTGAAATGTAGGTGCATTGCCCTTGTTTAGAGGATTTATATCAGCTCTTCAGCTTGGTTATAAACAAATACTTGACTGGGTGATTTCAGAATGAAACGGATTACATATTTAAAGAAAGACAAGTTATTCCTGTAAATGCAGAGGCTCTTGTGCTGCCATATGTTAAACAGAGGCAAGCAAAGGGTAATCTGGTATTTCAAGGAATTAAAGATCAGAAGAGATTACCTTGTCACAGCATGAGTGTGAAGTCCATTACTATGTTGGAAATCTACAATCAACATGTGCCTCTAACGTCCATCAAAATCTGACTAGAATTAGCTGCCAGCTTTAGCAGGTGTTGCTGTTGGATAGAGAAAGAATGGGCATAGTTAGAGCACTTGACAGCCAGATTTCTGAGATTTGACTGCACTTCATTCACAAAACGGGTGTGCAGAAATCTTCAGTCAGTCATATTTCAAATTTCTCACAGAAATGAAAAAAATCGAAAGGGGCAATTTGTAAATGTTGGCCTTTTTGTGCCTTTAGCAAAGATGTCTTGCTTATGCATCACTATTTTGATTTGATTTGGAAGAAACTTTTCTTAAATTTTCCTTGAAAACCGGCTGCGATTTGATAATGTTCTCATTCTGCATGTTTGGGAGAATGACTACATCCATTTTTTACGAGAATAACAATACCTTTCCCCTTCCCTCTATTTTTAGCAGACCAAAAGCAGAATGAGCCAAGAAAGCTGACTGTACACTACAGGGCCTCCCAGCACTACCAGGAGAATGTGTTCATAGAGGGAAACAGACCACAGTACCTGGAAGACCTGCATACTGAGGCCCAGGAAGGACTGAAGATACTACAACAGGAGGGTGAGCCTTATGCCCATCTTTTGTTACACAAAACACTGGTCTATGACAACCTTAATGCACTGCTCAGTCTGGCCTTCTAACTGATGCACCTCACTCAGTCTTTCTTCCATGCAGAGAACAAAAATGGAGTGGACTTTCAGGATGATCAGACTGTGGTAAGCCTCCAAAGATTATATATCAATATCCATGGCCGTTTCCACAAATATGGTAATACTTTAGGATCCCATTCTGCTTTTTTAAAGTATTAAAACTCCTTTTTTTCTTAGTTTGTCAGACAATAGTTTATTCCAACATAAAATTAGATTAGCATGAAAAGCTGCTCAGTTTAAACAAATCAAATATTTTGGCAGTTTTCACCTGTTCCATCTCCTAGGTCTGGTCTTGAACTTTCAACTGTATCTAACAAATAAAATCATTAAAACGGAGTCATAAAACTTTAATTACTTAAATGTTTAGGGCCTGGTTCCAACAAACCCCTGAGGATAAACTTTAGTTGTAATTTTAAGGGAGTTACCACTAAGAGGTTTTTCTTTTCTCTTTTTGTCAACTTAATGCAGGCCCTATCTTGTATCCTATTCATTCAATCACTTAACTCTTTAAAATGTAAACGTATATGCATAAACTGAACCTTTAATGGATCACTTACAATTTACTGATGACCTCCATTTCTCCACAGCCAGAGGAAGATACAAGCTCAAAAGAAAGAGATGAATCACTTGAGACTGACAGCACTGCTGGACACTCCGTCATTTCAGTGTCAACTGTCTCAGCAGTCTCCTCACATCCAGTGCTTACACGTCAAGGTATACAATGCTGACTTACTAAGAAGGTCTGGAAATAAACCATGCTTAGTGGCACATACTACCTCTTTTGTTTTTTTTTCCCTCTAAAGCGTTTTCAGGTTTAACAGTGCACTTGTTTGCCACCCTTATAATCTGCATTGTAGTGAGGCAATGCAAATACAAAGTCATGCATTTGGTCAAAAAAACGTCATGATCTGTCCTGTGATAGGTTCTGAGAAAATGTGATATCAATCAAAATGATATCAGTTAAGATTAAATAAAAAACTTGTTTGTTAGTTCACCAAAAAATTTAAATTCTGTCATTAATCACTCACCCTCATGTCGTACCAAACCTGTAAGACCTTTGTTCATCTTCGGAACACAAATTAAGACATTTTTGATGAAATCCAAGAGCTTTCTGACCCTGCATAGACAACAAGGGAACTACCATGTTCAAGACCCAGAAAGGTAGCAAGGACATCGTTAAAATAGTCCATGTGACATCATTAATTAATGACAGAATTTTCATTTTTGGGTGAACTATGCCTTTAATGTAGTGAGGCCATCACTCAGAGTATGACTTGAGATTTCATTTGGAATAACAAAACAAAACCTGAAGAAACAAAGAAACTGAAGAAAACCGCATGATTCATTTTTTTTCTTTGTATTCACTCTCTGTATGTTGTACCACTCCCTTTAGGTTCCACATTTAAACCCTTGAACCCAGTTAAACGACTGGACAAGACCAAGACGAGAAGTAGAAGAACAACTGTAATGGGCATACCACAACAAGTCCAAAGAGAACTGGGCATGTAAAACTGTGTTATTTTCAAATATTAAGAAAACTGTTTTTTAGCATGACATACCTTAAAACGGCAACTAAAATGGCAATGACAGATATATGAGATTACACAAACTGTTATGCCTAAAACAGAAGAATGACATTACTTTGTTTTATTTCTATTAAAGATATGGCAAGAGGACCTATACTGCAGCAGCGTCCAAATGGAGAACATGACAGTGAAGATGATTCCTGTGGCAGAGTGGTCATCCCAACAATTGATGGAGAGCTTTCTTCAGTAAATCATGAAGGGGCTCGTGTACACCTGCAGAACATTGAGGTTCTTCAGACACCAAGAGATGAGGAGTTTCTAATAAACCACATCCATTCTGTCTACCAAGATGAGTTAAACCGAAAGCTTGGGATAGGAGCATGCCCTACACAGAGGCCAAAGTCTCTTGCTGTGCCAGGGATGACCGCTTACTCTTTACTGCATGAGCCTCAAGGTCCTGTTATGTCTATTTCGCCACAGGCAACTTATTTATCTAAGATTATTCCAAACGCAATTCTGCCTGCTGCAATAGACATCATTGAAATTAATCATGATCACAGCCGGCGCAGTACAAGTACAGTTAGCAAGAGTAGTTTAGCATCAGCTAGTCCAGCTTCTTCACGATCTGGAGGTGACACAAATCAAGATCCAACTACCGCTAGCCCCAACAGGAGCCATTCCCAATCATCTGAGACGACCGTCTCCAACTCCTCCACAATCTCTTCAAAAGCAAAGTGTCTACCAACATTTGTTGCTGACAGCACCAAAGAAGTTTCCGATTTAATCCCAAAGGACGCAAGTGTTACAAGCTCAAGCAGTTGTAAAAGCTCTAACAGTAACAGTACAAATCACAGACTGGACCACAGGGAGATGGGTGAAGCAGGGGAAAATGTCAGAAACAGCCATTCATTCTCTCGTAGTCTCTCTATAATGAAGACAAAATTGCCACCAGCACCACCTCAGAGAACCTATTCCCTGCACCATGAAAAACTTAAGTGGAGATCAAGGGAACTGGTAGACATAAAAAGTCTCAAAAATATGGCCCCAGATGATGTGCAAACAGGTAGAGATCTTAGTGGTCAAAAAGACCAGCAGTCCACCAATAATGAGAAGAGTTCTGTCCATTCTTCAGTGCTCAACTCATCAAGAGAATGCAGCCCACTTAGTCCTGATCAAGCTTTTACTAGTAGTCATGTCAGATCAGATAACTCATCCCCACAGAAAACTGGAGAAGAATCTGGTGAAAACAAATTTGATAGGACTTTGTCTCCTTCGAGTGGATACTCAAGCCAAAGTGGGACACCTACGCATTCCCCTAAAGAGGTCAGTCCCTCCTCACCTGGAAAGAGAAAAGTTAAGCCTTCAAAGCCTGAGAGAACAGGTGTACGGACCTCGCCGGTGGTTTCAGTCTCTTCATCAATGACATCTCTATCTTCAGTCACATCAGACACGGCACATCATGACATTCAAACCAACACCACTCCATCAGAGCCATTAAAGTGCTCCCCAACTGTTACAACAGTGAAGAACAAGGTGACACTGACACACCCAACTATTCCCCAAAGGGAACTGTTCAACATTCCCCCTCCACCCAAGGTAAAAGCGCCATCTCCCCCACCCCCTGAAACCTGGATTCACAATAAACGCACACTTGAACTATTATGTGGCCCAGGTCCAAACCCCCATAGGTTACATCAGCTTCAAAAACAGCAAAAAGAGTCATTAATAGGTAAAAAGCAAAACACAAATTCCATACAAATCACTGAACAAATTATCCCAAAGATACAGACAACAGAAGAAATGAAGTCAGGTACCAAACTGGAGAACAAAGAAGCTGTAAAAAAACAAAAAGAGTCCATGTCATCACAAGTGCACGAACAAATGATGGCAGAACCTCCAGAATTGAGGCATAATGAAAGCTCAACATTACACAATGTGCTAAATGAACTAGAAAGTACAAAAATCCCTACAGAGGTCAACCAGAGCGTTCATACACAAGATCAGAGAACTGTAGAGGATCAAAAGGAAAAAGGAAGCCAAAAACTCTCAACAACGAAGGTACCAACTATCAAAATTGATCAAAGTATGCTGTCACAAACAAACTGTAAAGTCAAAACAAGTCCTGAAATTGTGAGCACAACATGCACCCGAAGGAATGACGAAAACAGTGAGGAGAACAAAGGAAACTGCATTGTTAAGGACATTCTCAATCATAAACAATTGCAAACTCTCGGCATAGAAGTACCTGAGGTCAATGGCATTTCTCCTCCTCCTTCTCCACCTCCAGAACACCACCCTCCACCACCGCCTACTAAAAAGACATCAGCCTCCTCAGAGTCTATACCACCATCTGATGAAGGGGAACAGAAGCAAGCAACAGAAGAACAGGTGACTCTTCTGGAGTCTTCTTGGCCTCCACCACCGCCACCAATGGAAGAATCAACTGACTTGATGTTTGAGGAACAAGATGAACTTGACTTCCCCCCACCACCTCCCTCGTTCATCCATGAACCCCTTTCGGAGGTATCTGCCAATTGCCACGAAGAGTCCTGTGAACAGCAAGACAATATAGAATTGAGGTCATCTAATGCCTCAGATATGGCTAGCAGTCCAGACCAAGACTCCAAAATACAGACCATTCTGCCAGCAAGAACTGTACAAAATGATATGGAGGACAGGCAAGAAGATAAGCCTGGTAACAATGTCTCACACTTCTCTGTGGACAAAGGTGGCATGGAAACTGTAGCTCCTACTAAAATGTCCTCTCTTTTACCAGATGAACTTGTACAAGGGGAGGAAATGCCAACTTTGTCAGCACAAGATTCATCAGAGCAAACATCACTTGATACCCAAGCAGATTCCACTAACGTGCCGCTTGCACCTCCACTTCCAGTGGAAGACCAATCCACTGTTAACTTCCGAAGGCAACTGAGCCTCGTAAACAAAGACAGCCGGAGCAAAGACCTGCTTTGTCGTCACAAAAGCACACTTACTCCAAAGGAGGATGCCAACATTCCCCTTGTCACACCTACGTTGCTTCAGATGGTTCGACTGAGATCTGTAAATGTAGGTGAAGATCAAGTTAATGATACCAAACCAAGCACTGAGGCCACAACAAATGAGGATCACAGTATTACTAGTCAAGCAACGCCACAAAAGCCTATTCGCAAATCCTTGACCTTGAAGTCCAACTCACCTGCTAAATCATCTCCTGCTCCAGCCACAGTTCCATCCAAGCGTCTTCAAGAGGCCATACGTATGAAGACTGCTGCAATGTCCTCCAGCGGAGTACCTGCAATGCACAATCTACACTTTTCCTCAAACAGTAGTGCTAGTTCACCTGTGCCATCCCCTAAAACACCAGACGGCTGTGACTTACACAAGTCCCCTGCATCTACAGCCAGCTTTATCTTCTCAAAAAGCACAAAGAAAGTTGTCATTGAAACGCCTACTTCTCCTGAGGTCCAAGCAAGCCTCAAACAAAGTCTTGCAGCTGAGATAATGCAGGTTTCTGACCAAGCCAAGACAATGGTTACAAATGGAACAAAAAAGCCAATTAAGGTGCCGCCACCTGTTGCTAAGAAACCAGTGCATGGAACAAATCCTCCCAACAAGACAGAGAATGCAACACCGGATAAGACTGAGATCTTGACAAATAAAAAAATAACAAGGGTTGAAGTTAATGGGCAAAGTGATCAAGTGCATCCTGCTGGTCAGCGAGCACAATCATTAGGAAACCAGAAGGAAGCAAGTAAGGAAGCATTCACTGGTTATTTTAGTTTGTGCATGAAACACAGACAGAACCATGCAAATGATCATTATAATTATATTTCTTTTTCAGGAAGTACAGAGACTGCATGTTGAAGAGTCAGGACACACGAGTTGAGTTTTGATTGGACTGTTTAGTCACAGTATGGGAAAAACAAGAGGACAAAGCAAGTGATGAAAGCCCAAGATAGATCTTGTTCAAGGATCCATGGATACCACAGCTGTCTTAAGGAGAAATGGCCTTCAAATGTATGCAAAAAGCTTTTCCCCAATCTGTTTTATACAATCGCTTTATTACAGCTTTCAAGTATTTTTCTAAATGAGTTTGTCTCCTCTGGGAAAAGTCCTTTTAGTTTATTGTGGACTTAAAAAAAGCTACTGACTGCAAGACTGAACTGACATCTAGTGGTCACTAGTGGTAGTAATCACGGCTTGGCGCAAAAAAGTCAAAACCTGTTATAATTTTTTTTTTTTGGACATACAAATATGCCCAAGCACACAGATTGATTACTAGCTATTAATGAAATTCTACTAACAGTTTTAAAATTTTAGTGCTACTGCAATCAACTTTCAGAATTTGCTTTCAGCAAATGTATAATTATACATGTACAGAACCATCTGTTACCTTTATGAATTTTGCAGTATGCTGACTATAGGTGAACATATACACATTTACGTATTTACTTTTCATTAGATTAAAGCACTTTGTTAGCTAAATGCTGCATTTCTTTTTAAACCAGCAAACAGGTAAGAGTATTGACTGATGGTCCCTCTAAAATTGATGTAAAAATATACATACACAAATACTTTAGTAGCTGTTTACTTTAAGGGAGGAGTGAACAGAATTACTACACTGTTTTAAAAATAAATATGCATTAAAGATATTTATAGATTTACCTTGTTTTGACTGTTAACTTCCATGCTTTTCAATATTACCCACAGCCATACATTCGTAACATCATATATAAGCCCCCCATACCACTGTTTTGTCTTCGAAGGATGTTATCTGGAAAATCTACTTTTTTTATATATTGTACAACACAATACATAAGTGAATTATATTTTCCACAATCTTTAATCAATCATTAAATTGTATTGCTCATATGACGGTGTTTCAAAATAGGCTCCCAAACATTTGTCAGGTTCATATATTTAAATATCTCTTTTCAGCAGATCAAACTCTAAAAGTACCTTCAAAGGCATTTCCATTATCATTCCATCAAGACATATAGCAAATGGTTATGAATCGTTGTTGTTTATTTCAGTGAATTTGGTTAACATCAGATGAGTTCTGAATGTTTTATTACATGAAATTCCTTATGTTTCTCTGTGAAGTAAGCTAACTAATGCTAAAATATGTATCCACAACAGTTTATTGAGTATATAGACTGTCCCTGTCTGAACCGTTTCCACTGATGATTAAATAGTTTGAACATTGTCAGACTGGAGACTGATCATTGTAAGCAATGATCTAGTTCCAGACATGGCACAACAGGAGGACCTGAGTTTAAGGATAACAGATGAACTCCTGCAAGGGTCTTCATTTGTTATTCAAACAAATGAGCATGACATTATTTACTGCAGTACTTTGTGTAAAACATCCTGGACGGCAATACATGCAATGTAAAGCACAGACGATACCTAGATGTATTTTGCTGCAGTAATCATGTGCTATTAGATAATTCACAGGTTGATATGGCTGAATGGGACCGTTGAAATTAAATAATGGCATTATAAGCCATTTGCTTCTCCATTAGAGTCAGTTAACAGTTTTGGATGGCTATGATGAGCAATACCTGACACTGTGTACTTGTCACGGGGATACTGGGCTGTCATTCAAACTAGCTTTGAGGATTTTGAGAGATATGGTGAAGACAACTAGCTAATATTTCCACCCGTCAGTGTTTTACAGGTGATATGTCCTAGTTTGGTCATCAGATTTTGCTCTTTCCATTGTGCAACACACTTGCCTGAGATCTTCAGATCCACCTGAAGAGATCAGACAAATAAACATACAACCAAGAATAAGACATAGTGATACTTTAATATGAATCTTTAAGTACAAAGATATAAAACTCACATACCTGCAACTTTTCAAACACCTTTTTCTTCGGTTTCAATTCATCATCTGGTTTGCCTGATTCATATCCTTCTACATAAACACGGTCTCCTGGTGCTGATCCTTCTGGTGGATCCAAAGGCTCCACTTTCCTGGGCTCTCCCTCACTGAAGACCATCACATTTAGAAAGATCAAAAATCGAGATGATTTTTACTATAAGAACTTAGCTGATTGAATGAAATGGTTGAATTAGGGTGCATCAGTCCTACTAACATTGAAGCGCAGAGCAGCATGGCTTGAGATTCAATCCCCCTCATCTTCTGGGGCTTTAGGTTGCATAACAACACAACAAGACGATCCTGAAGCTGCTCCTGTGAGAGGTAGGCCACCAGTCCACTCACTACAGTCCGTGGCTGTTCCTCACCCACATCAATCTTCTCTAAATACAGTGAGTCTGCATCTGGATGCTAACAGGTCAAGAAACAAGGTTATTTAAACACTCTTTTACTAGAAAAAAATACTCATAAAATTATAGCTGGCTTTCTCTACCTTCTCTACACTGATGACTTTGCCAACTCTGATGTCCAATCTAGATGGGATGACCTCCTCTTCATCTACAGTTTGTTTAGGGTTTCCCTTTGCTCCTCCTTCTGTGAAGCAATGACAATTTCAACGTATGTGTAAATGGATGTGGAAGTTCTTCCTTGTCCTAAAACTTAATCTAGAACTTGAAGAAACACTGTTAAATGGGTTCACAAGTGTCAGTGATTATGTTTTTAGATATTGTGTATTTCCACTCACTGTTTTTGGAGGGCTCTGGGTAAGCTGATGCTGTCAGTTTCTTCAACTCTGGGGTCTCAAACTTCTTCCTGATTGGGTCCAACAGTTTGTTAAGAGCCAACTCTACTGAAGCCTTCAGGTCACCAGGATGGATTTGCTGCAGGTAAGCAATGCAGGAGCTCAACATAGGATGCTCAACTCGATTTATGTAAACATATGTTTTTCGTACATTAAAGGGATAGTTCCCCCAAAAATGAATATTCTGTCATTAATTAATCACCCTCATGTCATTCCAAAGCCGAAAGACCTTCGTTCATCTTCGGAACACAAATTAAGATATCTCTGATTAAATCAGAGAGCTTTCTGACCCTGCATGGACTGCAAGGGAACTACCACAATCAAGGCCCAGAAAGGTAGTAAGGACATCGATAAAATATTCCATGTGATATCAGTGGTTCAACCGTAATTTTTTGAAGCATAATATTACGGTTCAACCACTGATGTCACATGGACTATTTTAACAATGTCCTTACTATCTTTCTGGGCCTTGAACATGTCAGTTGTGTTGCTGTCTATGCAGGGTCAGAAAGTCAGAAAGAATTTGTGTTCTGAAGATGAACAAAGGTCTTATGGGTTTGGAACGACATTGGGGTGAGTAATTAATGACGATTTTAATTTTTGGGTGAACTACCCCGTCAAGTAAATATAAGTATTGTTTAGATACCTCCGCAGCAAAGTCCTTATCTACTTCCTCATAGTCTGTGTAGACTTTGTCACCTCCCCACTTTGGATCTCTTTTAATTATAAACTCTAAAAAACAGAACACATCATTAAGCACTTAACTAGATGTTTTTCCAAAATTATTATTTTTTTGCCTGAACTCACCAGAGTGCAGAGGGAAAAGCACATGTTTGACAAAGGACAGAACTCCATTATTCTCCACATTTCCAGGCTCACAGAAGGCTCTCTTTAACTTCTTCTTCACCTCTTGGTTCTTATCCAGCAGGTCAATCTTGGATTCCTGTAGCAGATATGAAAGTTTGAGAATGATGAATCTTAGTGTATCAACCCGACACCTGGAATACAACAGCATACGCCATTATCCCATCCTGCAGAATCAATATGATTCTTTAAATACATGAATCGAAGAATGTGATTGTAAATCTTTATCTTACAGCATTCTTGAAATCTTTGAAGGTGTAAATGGTAACGTACCTCCTCAGAGGAGCTCATCTTGCCCCCCGTCAGTCCAGGCACCATTGGGTTCATCATGTGGATACGTTTAGTGTACCCAAGAGAGGGCAGATACTGCAAAAAAAAAAAGAGAAAACAACAATTCTAAAACACAAAATATATCCAGCAAACATACCCATATATTCATTGGGATCAGGACAGAACAGGACAGGACAGTTACAAGAGTAACATCAAATCAGTATGACATCATGACAGAAAGCTTGATTCACACATTATTCTGTCCACTCATTGCATCTGATGCTTCACAGAAACATTTAAGACTTTATATTTTTTGCTTTAGTGTACAAGTAGGAAATACCAACTTTACATTTTTAAACGTTTTTCTACAAATATTATAATCAAGTTTGATTTTTTTGTATTTCCTACTGGCAAGCTAAAGCAAAAAAATGCAAAAGAAGAAAAAACATTAAATCCAAAACTTTTGAGAAGCATCTATTGTGCCTAAGACTTTTACACAGTACTGTATAGAAAAACATCTTAAGGGGTCATATGATGTTGCCTCAAAGAACATTATTTTGTGTATTTGGTGTAATGAAATGTGTTTATGCGGTTTAAGGTTCAATAAACACATTATTTTCCTCATACTGTACATTAATGTTTCTCCTCTATGCCCTGCCTTTCTGAAACGCATCGATTTTTACAAAGCTCATCGGTCTGAAAAGCGAGGTGTGCTGTGATTGGCCAGCTATCCAGTGCATTGTGATTGGCTGAATACCTCAAGCGTGTGACGGAAATGTTACGCCCCTCACCATACTGTTGATGCCGTGTCCCGGCCGGAGCGACGAGACAAAAACATTAAAACCCATTATAAACTAGGCATTTGTTGCATCCAGTGGGGACATAATTATGGATTATAATGACTTATACTGTCTTTTTACGCGTTGCGTTGCATCGTGCCGCGTAAACATAAAATCATGTCTGCATTTGTGATCAGAGAAATGACAAACAACAAGCCCTACTCTACACTGCTCAAAACCCGCGTTTGAATCATCAGTGGCAAATCCTATAAATATACTTTTGGAAGACCAAACAAAGTAGTTTTGCTTTCACAACGAAACACACAGCATCACACACCGCGGCCTTGAGTGAGCAGAGGCCTGCAGGGGGCTAGAGAACGGAGCGGCTGGCGGATTCGACGAAGGAGCGGCCGGTGGGCTTTGCGGCAACCACATGTGACGACCCCGGGCTGGACTCCGCTTCATCCACGGTGAAAGCCGATCCGGCGATCCACAGCGCGAAGTTGACGTATTTCCTCAGATTAGCTCCAGGCATGACGAAGTAGATATCGTCCTCTTTTGGAAGGCCAAACAAAGCAGTTTTGCTTTCACAACAAAACACACAGTGCCTTCATGACATGGCGGCGGCGGTGGCAGCAACAATACTACAGCAAGAATAAAAGTTACGCCTTCTTTCTTTGCGTGAACATTTGGGCGGCGTTATGCAAATCTTCCCACATCGTGACGTAGATATGTGGGGGCGTGTTAGAACGAGCCGTTTTAGGTAGGCGTGGTTGACACTTAACTTTTATAAAGAATATCTCTTTGGATTTGAGACTTTAGTCTTTGCAACTTTACAGATCTTCTTAGAGCTTGTAGAGCTTGTAACACTCCAAAGAGAAAGGAAAAATTGAAATCGCATCATATGACCCCTTTATGGAATAAGAAATAGGTAAACATGTACCTTCTCTGCTAATGTGAAGATCTTCCTTTGGTCCACACCACCGAACTGAGCATCTACTTTTAAGTATTCCTCATCCAGTGCCTGATAGAAATGAAAAACAATGTCACAGTGTCTGGAATAAGCAGTGAATTAGAAAATAGAACAGAACGCCAAAAAAAAGAAAATCATCCAATCCAGAAATGTAGGTTTAAATAAATGAATAAAGTACTAAGAAGTACTGATAACCATACACTACTGTTTAAGAGTTTAGAGTCAGTAGGACTTTTTTTTTTTTGTTTAATGCTCACAATGCCTGCATTTATTTAAAAATATTATTATATTACAGTTAAACCAGTAATATAGTGAAATATTACTACAATTTAAAATAACTTTTCTATTTTAAAATGATTGTTCAGAAATCATTCTAATATGCTGATTTGCTGCTCAAGTAACATTTCTTATTATAATGTTGAAAACAGTTGTGCTGCTTCATATTTTGTGGAAGAATATTAATTTTAAAAGAACAAAAAAGAGTCACAAAAAAATATTTTTTCAAATAATATAATTGTCTTTCCTGTTACGTTTGATCAATTCAATGCACCCTTGCTGAATGAAAGTATTTATTACTTTAAAAAAATTTATAATAAAATTAGGGATGCACCGATACCGATACTGGTATCTCTGAGTTCTTGTCATATTTTATTACCATTTTCTAAACTATAGCAAATAAACTGTGATAATGAGAGAAATGTTGAAGGTGTCTGAATAAATTTAGGTTTGACTGTATTTGATAAATAAAGTTAACCAACTAACATTATACATACTCTTTTGGTTTCTGTACCCAATATTTTAAAAATTTACAAATGCAATAAAAATATTGGTATCGGTACTCGGTATCGGCAAGTACCAAAAATAAAAGTATCGGTATCGGGCGAGTACTGAAAAAAGTGGTATCGGTGCATCCCTAAATAAAATACTGGTTCCAAACTTGTGAACAGTAGTGTAGAAATACATAACAAGCAGCATAATTTTAATGGGTTGTATATTTGCATTTGCACCAATATGAAAAAATAAGTAGACTCCATGACTCCATGTTCACATTATTATTGAAAACAAATACTTACAGACCCTTCTAGAAGACTACAAAGATGAGGAAAATGTTAGCAGAAGATGGTCTGCATACCTGTAGTCCAGGATACAGCAGGCCACTCAGAAGAGGATGCTCAACCTGTTTGACCACCTCAGCACCTGCTTTCTTGGCATCATGTTCAGTGACCATGGATGACAGTCGGTAAACATCCAGAGTGTACTCTCTATAATAAATCAACCACACAAAGCATTTGTCTTCTTCTTAAAGAAATAACAACCACAAACATCATCTTTGTATTCATGGTAAGAAAACATGTTTGACAACACAACAAAACATATCTCTTCCTAAAAACCATTTGGTCAATTATCATCCTATGTAACTGTTTGAAATTATAGCTACAGTATTAAATAAAAGGGACGGTTACCTGCTGAGCTGATAGTCTGTGCCTTTAACAAATTTGAGTTTGTCGAGGGGAACTCCAATGCTCTCCAACATGGCCTTAATGATCTGCTCATAATACTGCACCCTGAGCTCCAGCAGCTCCCAGGGAGCTTTCATGTTGTCCAGATAGGCATGGAGATCAGCAAAGAGGATGGTCACCTACAGAACAGAAACATCAATAGTTATACACACCAATGCCCTGACAAATTGTCCATGCAAGTAATTCAGAACCAATACAGAACACCAGAGACAAACCTCACAGCCCGCCTTCAGGAAGTCAGCGATCTTTGACATGGGGACAAAGTAGGCCACATGGGGTTTGCCCGTGGTTGCTGTTCCCCAGTAGACCTTCAGTTCCCTCTCCTTCAGGATCTCCTTCAACCTCTCCTCACCAAGAACCTCCTGAGAAAATAACAGTGGCAGAAACAGTCTTTTGAAATTGACAGAACAGACACCTCATTAACGGTGCATGTAAAAAAAATACTAAATAATGAATATCTTCAAAACAACAACAGACATACTTCAAATGTTAAATATGTTTTTGAGCTGTTACAAGGAATTTGGGAATCTCTTAAAGGGATAGTGCACCCAAAAATGAAAATTTGATGTTTATCTGCTTACCCCCAGGGCATCCAAGATGTAGGTGACTTTATTTCTTCAGTAGAACACAAACGAAGATTTTAACTCAAACCGTTGCAGTCTATCAGTCTTATAATGGCAGTCAATGGGCTCCACGACTTTGAGAGTAAAAAAAACATACACAGACAAAACCAAATTAAACCCTGCGGCTCGTGACGATACACTGAGCTCTTAAGACACGAAACGATCGGTCTGTGCAAGAAACTGAACAGTATTTATATCATGTTTTACCTCTGATCCACCGCAATGTCCAACTGTCCTGAGCGCGTTCACAACATCCGGCGCGTGACGTCAAATACATACGGTTGGGCAAAAAATTCCACGTTGTCTGATGATATATCAAAATCGGCTTCCATTGTGATGACCTGTACTTCTAAATATCTTTAGATCATCGCAGTGCCAGTGAACATGTACGCAATCTCCCTGCACTGTGTAAATAATGAGTGAAGTATACGAGCGACAGATTGCTTCCGCACATGCGTCTACTATCATAGATATGTATAGATGCCCTATTCAACCGCTCCAGATACGTTGACGCGTCTGCCATTTTGGAACATATCGCAGCCCATCAAAACAGTCACTAATGAGGCATCTACTTAAAAATATTTATGTCTATTATGCCAGAGCAGGTACACGTCACGCGCCGGATGTTGTGAACGCGCTCAGGACAGTTGGACATTGCGGTGGATCAGAGGTAAAAAATGATATAAATACTGTTCAGTATCTTGCACAGACTGATCGTTTTGTGTCTTAAGACCTCAATGTATCATCCTGAGCCGCATGGTTTAATTTGGTTTTGTCTGTGTATGTTTTTTTTTACTCTCAAAGTCGCGGAGCCCATTGACTGCCATTATATGACTGACAGACTAGAACGAGTCGAACGAAGTTCGAGTTAAAAATCTTCGTTTGTGTTCTACTGAAGAAACAAAGTCACCTACATCTTGGATGCTCTGGGGTAAGCAGATAAACATCAAATTTTCGTTTTTGGGTGAACTAACCCTTTAACATCTTTCCCTGCAGTTTCTCACCTGAAGGTTTCTGGTGATGAGCTGGAACTTCTCATCAGGACTCAGCTGCTCTCCCATGATGTCTGCTGCTTCTGTGCGAATGGAGTAATCACAGGCTTATATGACAAATAACGAGGATAAACTCAATTTGTGGTTCTGGTAGAAGCCATATGTCAAAACTGTTATTTTTAGGAACAGTTATTCAGCCCTGAGTTAAAATTACGTCTGCTATGAATGAACCTCTGAGGATGAGCTGTCTTATGTATCCATTTCCCAGAGTGATAGAAACACCTCAAAGCAGGAAATAGGTCGGTATAAAATGTAATACTTTCCTTATAAAATGTCAGTGATAATAGATGACAAAAGCTCAGATATTTAATACAAATGCACATTAAATCTCACCGGTGGTATCTGAAAAGCGTGTGTGCCGGTGACAGGCTCTTCCTGATGAAAGATTTCATCACGCATTTCATAATAAAAGCCCCTCAGATATATCTATGAATGAAAGTTCGTTTTATCAATTTATGTACACGAGTTTACAAAAATATTTGGATATATCGGTGAAATATATTAGACATATATAACTAAATGTGTATTATTAAGCTATTTTTAAATATTTTGCTTTGTAATGATAGTGTTGCATCAGCTCAGAACAATCGATTGTCCAGCTATTCAACAGCAGGAAGAGTAATCGAGTGCGTAAAGATGCGACCCATTGAGCTGTTGTCTTTTTTCTTCCAGGAGGCGCTCCTACACTGACCCTGTTGAGACTGCGAGATTTTTCTGTCCTTCTCTCCTTTTTTAATTAAAATGGACTAACACTTTGAAAACCGCGTTTTGAACCCGATATTGATAATATTTCATAATGAAATAATAGGACACTGAAGAAAAGCCACAGTGAAATGGAATTTGGATTTCGTCAAAATAAAAAATAAAGTATGGCAGCTCTCTCTCTGTACAGACCTTTTTTTACAGTCTATGGTACAGACAGATAGAAAAATGTTTTTATATTTTATTATATAAGAGGCTGAGGTGGTAGAAGGGAAAAAAGCAAATGATGATCCTTGAATATTAATTAGTGTTTATTAAACATTTTTGTAACATCGTTTCTTTTAAATAACTACACACTAACAATTGCATCCAAAAATATCACGTCTATGTACAAACATCAGCACATCTGTTATATACAATAACTGTAATGTTTGATGTCAGAATATAGAAGTCGGAACAGATCACCACAAACCGGTGTTAATGAAAATGGGGTAAAAAAAAAAAAAAAAAAAAAAAAAAAAAAACAAAAGAAAATCAAAAAAAAAAAACCCCACAAAAAAAAAAAAAAAAAAAAAAAAAATATATATATTACATGTATATACTACAAATTTTGTATATAAT